TTCCAGGTTCCCGTGGACGTTTTCGCTGGCGTGACGGACCCTGAGCCAGCCCACGGCCAGGGGGTGGACCCAGGTGGGGCGTCCCGGAGGCCGGGGGGGGAGGGAGGAGGGGGGAGGCGAGGGCGGAGCTAATGGGAGCCCCACTGGGAGATCTGGGGTTCCCTCCATAGCTAATCCCAACCCCCCTAATTCCTGAAGATCTAGTCTTCCCCAGGAGCGATCTTGTTCAGATATATTATGTATTTTTATATACATAATACGTATTATGCATAATTATATAGTGTAGATATTAAATATTACGTATCATATAATGATACATAATATATACTACTAAATATATGTATCTTACATATATAATATACATATCATATATATATAATATATATCATGTATATATATATGAGCCAAATGAGAGGTCAACTGTCAGACTAGTAATGTGTGAAGCCCTGCGTTAAAACCACACACACAGGGCTGGGAAGTTGGTTCAGTGGTAGAGCGCTTGCCTCGCATGCGTGAGGCCCTGGGTTCGATTCCTCAGCACCACATAAGCGGAAAAAAAAAAGCCGGAAGTAACGCTGTGGCTCAAGTGGTAGAGCACTAGCCTTGAGCTGAAGAGCTGAGGGGCAGCGCCCAGGCCCAGAGTTCAGGCCCACGACCAAACCCCAAAAAAAAGAAAGAAAGAAATCAGGAAGTAAGCCACAGAAAATACTCACTGTAAGGTCCTTTCCTGGGTGGCAAGAAGACTCCACCCTCCTCACAGCAAAGTCTCTACCCATTACCTGCGTTACCTAGGCAACTGGCACACCTGGAAGAAGTCACATCTGTATCCCCTGAGGTCACATCTGAATTTGATGTGGCCACACTTTCTCCACCCATACCCTAGATAAGGCCTAGCCCAGGCCTAGATGCTCTCTCTTCTAGTTCTTTTCTCTTTCTTTCCCAGCTCTCTCTCTTTCCCAGCCACGTGGAGGGCCAACATGGCCTGGTGCCAGCCAGAGCGATGAATAAACCTACCCCTTACCTGAATACCACGTGTGTGGTGCTGTTCTTACTCGGCTACCTCTTTTTAAAAATCTAACACATCCTTCCACAAAGCAAAACAGACCACAGAACACCTGTAACACCTACAAGAATTGGAATTCACAGCTCATCTTCAGCTAAAGAGCTTGTTTAATTCCCAACATGTTAGTCAGTTTCTAAAAGTTTGGCAGAGTGTCACAGGGTTATGAATTACATTAGAAACAACCCATAAAACAAGCACTCAAGGGAGGTAGGGATCAGGAGGATTTAAATTCAAGGCCAGTGTAGCAAACAAGAAGATTCCCCATCTCAACCAATAAGCCAAACATAACTGCATTCCAGCTCCTCAGCAATCACAGGAAGGAAGATCTTGCTCTGAGTCCAGCTGTAAGCAAAAACAAGAAATGCAATCTAGAAAAGAAAGCAAAAAAGCATGGAGGAAATTGCTCAACTGGTAAAGCACTGCCTAGAAGGAAAAGGCCCTGAATCCAAAACCCCAGCAATAGCCAAAAAAAAGAAAAAGTCACATCTTGACCTGCTGCCCTTCATAGAATGAGTCGTGACACACAACGAGGTCTTGCTGACTCCATCCCCACAGCTTTGGAAGGGGACAGTCCTGGTCTGACCATCAAGTCCTGCCCAACATGCAGTGTTGGTGCTGCACAGCCCAGTCCCCTGAAGTTATGGACACGGGTTTCCAGACATGACCGCTTCCATTCCTGCAAGTCCGCGGAAAAGATCGAGGGTCCTTGGACCCTCAAGGCCATTACTCCTTCATGATCCTGCCGCCTTCTTCCTTTGCCTTCACTTTGCATCAGTAAACTTGCTCCCACTCATGTCTCCTTTCCATCTATCCTTGAATTCTTTCTAGAACTTTCCAGGCCCTCTGACCTGGTAACAGCTAGAGCTGCCATACACCATTTCCAGACTTGATCTCTAAAGAATTTCTTTAGTCCTCCATCCAGAGCAGTAGAGAATTCCTGGGTCCCAAGGGTCCAGAAAGGGTGGACACTGAGACCAGGCCATGGGCTTTGAAGTTCTTAGCCCATGGCAGAGCAACTGAATAAGAGAATTCCTGCTGAGTTTCCTTAGCTTGGAATTGTGTTAGGCAAGAAATAATCCTCGAGCTGGGTACCAGTGGCTCATGCCCGTAATCCCAGCTACTCAGGAGGCTGAGATCTGAGGATCTCAGTTCAAACCCAACCCAAGCAGGAAAGTCCATAAGGCTTTTATCTCCAATGAACAACCTAAAAATTGGAAGTAGAGCTGTGGCTTACTGTGGTAGAGCGCTAGCTCTGAGCAAAAAACTCAGGGGCAGTGCTCAGGTCCTGAGTTCAAGCCCCATGACTGACAAAAATAAGGAGAATCCTTAGTTGGAGGAAGCCACTGAGATTTTTGGAGATGTTTCAATAACTTGTTTGATGATTCCTTTCACAGCTGGCTAGGGAATCTCACTTCTTGAATTCGCACCCTGCACACCCTCCCACACTCATTCTGCCCTTTGCACATGCACTTTGCTTTAGCTATTGGGCCATCAGCAAATATACACAGAAGCTTGAAAGGTATTTGTGCATTGCAGTTTACCCCCCTCTTCCTGGTGAGAAGCCTTCCACCAAGTGAACACACTTAGATTAGCCAGCCAGCAGTCGGCACTAGTGTCAGACCAGTGCAAGAAGCCGTTATTGGAAAGCCCAGCCTCAAACCAGCTGCCAAGTGAAATTAGCTTTACGTCCACCTTTGGTCCTCAGCTCCACCCAGCCCTGAGCTCTGGAGTCCCCGCCCTACAGCTGGCCACTCCCTCTCTCCACCCAGACCCACCTGAGCAAACACCCACCTCACTTCCTGCCCCCAGTCCCTCCTGCTACCTGAATAGGGACGGATGCCATGTGTTCCATCTTCGGGGAAGTACGGCTTCTCTAATACACCTTGTAGTAATCTTTCTCTTGTGCCTGCTTGCCTTTGGGTGGTCCCCTGGGATGGGCATGAAGGATCTTTTCAAGCAGGACTCCTGCAGCTCCCCAAACACCCAAAACTTCTGTCCACACAATACATGGGATACATAAAAGGGATACCGCACCAGCACGGTAAGTGTTCAGTTTGTTCCATAGCAACCGATAAGTAATACACACAGCCAGATCTGACTAATACATTGGGAGAGCCATAAGGCGGAGCTGACCCAGAACGGAATGGACCAGGAGGTAAGGACTCACCAGGTCCAGTTCCTGTCCCGCTACTCGAAGACCAGGGAATGTCAATGTTGTGATTTGCTTGCACAGGTCTTGGGACATGCTGCTGTGTCACAGCACAGCGGTTTGGGGAACTGTTCACTCAGGTGACACTTCTGTGAAAGTGGCTGGTGATCTAACACACTCCTAAACTTTGACCTGTATGCTTTTATTATGCGATGACAAATACTCCCTTCCACCCTTCACTTCCTCACCACGCCCACCTTCCACCCCTTCACCTCTTCCGTCCCTTGTTCAGCTAGGTCACTTCAGGTCTCTTATTTCAAGGAGGGAATACTGACTTGGGTTGGTTTTGGCTTCCTACAAGTTGAGAAAGGAGGGAGTCAACATTTTCTTTTTTGTTTGTTTTGTGCCTGTCTTCCGACTTGAACTCAGGGCCTGTACACTGTCCCTGAGCTCAAGACAAGTGCTCTCCACTGCTTGAGCCACAGCGCCACTTCTGGCTTTTTTGGTGTTCAGTTGGAGATGAGAATCTCAAGGACTTTCCTGCCCAGGTAGGCTTCAAACTTGGATCCTCAGATCTCAGCCTCCTGATTAGCTAGGATGACAGGCGTGAGCCACCAGCACCTGGCTAGAGTCACAAACTTACACGCTAGTAAGCCACTCCCCTTGCTCCCATGAGAGAGAAGAAAATAAAAATCCCAGACAAACTGGGAGCCCCTAAACCACCATAGATTCCAGCAACAGTGCGCTGCTGCTGGCCTGTTACCCATGGAACTCCTGTTGAAGTTTAATCTCACTGTGAGGCTTGGCATAGAAATTGAATCCCGCTGTGGCATCCAGAGGTGTGGGGGTCTTTAAGAGGTGATCAGGATTATGAAAGGTCACTAGGGTACAGCCTCCATCATTTAATACTGGGAGGATATGCTCTCAGATGCCCTCAGATGCCCCTGGGTGCCCTCCCTCCCTGCTCAGTGCCATGTGATGCCCTGCTCTCCAGTTTTGCCTGCCACAGCTAAATGTAGAACCCCTTGACTTTGGACCAGAAATGTGAGGGAATAATGTGAGAGAAACTTCTCCTTAGAACCTGCCCAGCCTGCGGTCTTGTGTTATCAATAAAAAGTGGACTCAAGGGCTGGGAAGGTGGCTCAGTGGTAGAGCGCTTGTCTTGCATGCTTGAGGCCCTGGGTTCGATTCCTCAGCACCACATAAGCAAAAAGAAAAAAGCCGGAAGTGGCGCTGTGGCTCAAGTGGTAGAGGGCTAGCCTTGAGCTGAAGAGCTGAGGGACAGCACCCAGACCCAAAGTTCAGGCCCCACGACCGGACCCAAAAAAAAAAAAAAAAAAGTGGACTCAAGTAGCTGCTTTCCTAAGCAGAACCCCAGAATGCCCCCAGGTCTCAAATGGGCAGGCGTTGACACTTGTGAGTCAAGTATCAGGATCAGAAACCACCTCTCCCATTTCTTAGTGCTCTGAGACCCTCGCACGCCTCTAGAACTTAAAAGTATAAAACCTACGCAAGCCAGGAGTCAGTGGCTCACGCCTGTCATCCTAACTATGATCTGAGGATCACAGTTCAAAGCCAGCCGAAGCAGGAAAGTCCATGAAACTCTTATCTCCAATGAGCTACCAGGAAACCGGAAGTGGCACTGTGGCTCAAGTGGTAGAGCACTCTCCTTGAGCTGAAGAGCTGAGGGACAGCACCCAGGCCGAGTTCAAGCCCCACGACCAACCAAAAGCAAAAAAAAAAAACCTAGGAAAAAAGTGGGGATTAGCTGGGAAAAGTGGCTCATGCCTATAATCTTAGCTACTCTGGAGGCTGAGAGCTATGATCAAGATTTGAGGCCAGCCTGGGCAGACAAATCAGAAAGACTTAAGTAACCATCAAAAAAGCCAAAGTGGAGCTGTGGCTCAAGTGGTAGAGTACTAGCTTTGAGAGAGAAAAACAAAAGCTCCAGGATAAGGCCCAGATCCCTGAGTTCAAGACCCAAGACTGGCACAACAAAATAATAATAATAATTTAGATTAGGTGAAGTTTACAGAGAAATCAAGTTCTGACTTACCTGAATCTATAGAATGAAATCTTCTCTCATTACCCAGGGTTTAAGTAATTGTAAAGTACTTCATCTGTATGGTTTGATCCATATGTTATGGACAAAAATGGGAATCTTAGCCGGGCGCCGGTGGCTCACGCGTGTAATCCTAGCTACTCAGGAGGCTGAGATCTGAGGATCGAGGTTCAAAGCCCGCCCAGGCAGGAAAGTCCGTGAGACTGATCTCCAATAAACCACTAGAAAACGGGAAGTGGTGCACTGGCTCAAGTGGTAGAGCGCTCACCTTGAGCTGAAGAGCGCAGGGACAGCATTCAGGCCCAGAGTTCATGCCCCATGACTGACAAAAAATAAATAAAAAATAAAAAATAAATGGGAATCTTGCAATGCCCAGTGTATTTATTACTTACCTACCTGTCTCCATGGCCATCAACTTGAAGTATATATTACAGGTTGGCCACAAGGTGGTGCTAGAGAGTTATCTTATGCTGGTAGATCTAGCACCTTAAGGGCCCTGGCTTTAACATGCAACTTCCTGAATTCTTGTAATAATAGCTGAAATTATAGCAAAACTTGAGATGACAGCCACCGAGTTCATGTGAAGCTGTACTTAAATTCAAAAATCATAAAAAAACAGACCAAAAGAATATCATCAACTCCTTTCTATTATTCCCCTTTTTCATACCTATTATCATACCATGGGACATGCCAATAATTACACAAAGCATCAAATACTAGTGTGTCCCAAACTCATAGATTAAAATACATATATATGTGTGTGTATATATGTGTGTATATATATGTTTATGTATATACATATATACATATATATATATATATATAGGCTAGGTGGGAAATATATATATATATATATATATATATATATATATATATAGGCTGGGTGGGAAGGTGGCTTAGTGGTAGAGTGCTTGCCTAGCATGCACGAAGCCCTGGGTTTGATTCCTCAGTACCACAGACACAGAAAAAGCCGGAAGTGGTGCTGTTGCTCTAGTGGTAGAGTTCTTCCTTGAGCAAAAGAAGCACAAGGACAGGGCCCAGGCCCTGAGATCAAGCCCCAGGACTAACAAAAATAAGATAGATAGATAGACAGACAGACAGATATTATGCAGACATCATCTTGATGTCTTCAATTTTAAAATCGAGGCATGCTGCCAGCCACAGGGCCATGGTTATTTTGAGATTAGGCTCTCAGTACTTGCCCAGGCATGCACTTGGACCACCCTCTGCCTATTTAAGACTCCCCATTGTTGCCATCATAGCCAGCTTGACTTCCTTTGATATGGAGTCTTTTTTTTTTTGGCGGTTGTGGGGCTTGAACTCTGGGCCTGGGCCCTGTCCTTGTGCTTCTTTTGCTCAAGGAAGAACTCTACCACTAGAGCAACAGCACCACTTCCGGCTTTTTCTGTGTCTGTGGTACTGAGGAATCAAACCCAGGGCTTCGTGCATGCTAGGCAAGCACTCTACCACTAAGCCACCTTCCCACCCAGCCTATATATATATATATTTCCCACCTAGCCTATATATATATATGTATATATGTATATACATAAACATATATATACACCCCTCAGCTCTTCAGCTCAAGGCGAGCACTCTACCACTTGAGCTACAGCACCACTTCCGGTTTTCTGGTGGTTCATTGGAGATAGGAATCTCACGGTCTCTCCTGCCTGGGCTGGCTTTGAACCGCGATCCTCAGATCTCAGCCTCCTGAGTAGCTAGGGTTACAGGCGTGCGCCACTGGCGCCCAGCTGATATGGAGTCTTGTGAATAATTTCTGCCTGAGCTGGCCCTGAACCCAGATCTCCCAATCTCAGCCCCCTTTGTAGCAAGGATGACAAGCATGTACTGCAGCCCAGCTGTACATTGCGAACGGGCACTTGTGAATTTTTCTGCTCTGGCCGGCCTTGAACTAGGATTTTCCCCATCAGCTCCTAAGGAGCTAGGATTCTAAGTGTGAGCCACCGACTGGTACCTGGCTAGGTCCTTTTTCTTTTCTTTTGTATATAAGGCACATGAGCTAAATGGAATAAAAATGTTCTTAGAGACAGAGACAGAGAGGTCCCCCCAGGAAGGTCAACTATCTTGTTGAAATGGATCAGTCTTCATCCCACAGAAGTCAAGTTCAATAACAGCTCGTGCCAAAAGGCAAGCTAGTGTGGTGCTGTCTGAAGGAGGAATGATGTTTAGGGATCGCTCACTGCCAGTTATGAAGACATGTCTTCCACGCACCATTTGACAAATGAACTCATAACCCTGAAAGGAAAGATGCCTATCTAGTTAGACATGATATTAGTCAGCCGATGCTGCCAGAACAAATGCTGTAGGCTGACTGGCTTGGGTAACACATTTTATTTTCTACAGGTCTAGAGGTGGAAAAGCCCATGATTAAGGTCCTGCAGAATTTCATTTCCATATTGAGCTCCCTGGTGTATAGATAGCTGCACACAGCCATTTAGGTATGGAAGACAGGTTTGGCTTCTTCTCATTAGACAGCACGTCTTTGCTTGCTGCATGTTCAGAAAACCTGCTTTCTCATATCTCTTCTTAAGAGTGCATGACTCCAGTGGCTGGCAATGTGGCTCAGTGGTAGAGTGCTTGCCTAGCATGCATGAAGCCCTGGGTTCTATTCCCCAGTACCGCATAAACAGAAAAAGCCAGAAGTGGAGCTGTGGCTCAAGTGGAAGAGTGCTAGCCTTGAGCAAAAGAAGCTCACGGACAGCGCCCAGGCCCTGAGTTCAAACCCCAGTATTCACAGAACGAAAAAGAAAAGGAAAAAAAAAGTACATGATTCCAGAGTCCCCCTATCCTCACAAATGCATGGAACCCTAAGTATCTTCCAAAGGCCCAGTCTCAAAATACTACCATGTTGAGGAATTGACCTAGGAGTGGAGAGGAATTCAAATGTTCATTCTATAGCAGACCTATAAGGATCAAAGCTGTGCTAAAATTAATTTGCATGCCATTTGACTTAAGTCTCCTCATACTCTCCTCTAACCTTAATCCCTTCTTTTTCCCTTTCCTATACTGA